TCAATGCAATTACCAAAAAGCGGTGGACTTGTGTAAGCTATTCCAGACGTGAATATATTTGTTTCTGGACTTGGTGAGATTTTTGGGAGCTTCAGGAACACGATTTGAGGCTTGGTTTTGATTTAGAATGGCTGGAAATTTTTATATGAGTTTGCATCTTTCGTTGAAAATTTGTGATGTTGAAACCTTGCTTCTATGGCAGCCACTTTGTGTTCTATTGTAGTGCGAGGCCTGGTGTATTTATAGAGAACATTTTAGTCCAACAAAAATGGACATGAATCAATTGAAATCAAACATAATTAATTCTTTCCAAAATTGTTTTAAAAATATTCCAAACTTGAATATTCTTATTCCCAACATGTTTTAACGGTTTTGGCACGCTCTTATGAGGTCTTGGGCCTTCTAGAAGATATCCAAATGAAGCCCATACGCCCTTTGGTCCATCAACTCATATTTTATTTTATTTATTTTGAATTAATTTGAATAAAATCAAAATAAAAAAAATAAAAAATCAAAGTAATGTATAAATGAACTTAGAGATCCCATAACATGTTATAAACATTTTTAAACCTCAAAAATTAGGCCCATTAGTGCAAAAGTTCAAGTTTGCTCATATGAAGTTTCATGCATTTTTTCAAAAATTGCCCAACTTGCACAAATCATATCTCACTCAATTTTCATTATTTTAAAGTTATCTTAGACTTTTTAGAAATCTCAAGATGTCCTATACGATATATATTTTGATTATTTTTGCATTTGAAGACTTTATCTTGATGAAAGTTGCCTTGACAAACAGTGTATTTTTGTTGACTTTTGAAATGACCTATAATGTATTGGCTCATATCTCTCAAATGAAGCATTTTTTGAATTTGAGATTAGAGAGAGAAAGTTGTATAGAATCGGATTTCCTTCAAAATGAGCTTTGGTTGAGGAAAATCTGATAAAGCATGTGAAAGTTATGCTTGGTCAACTTTCAGTTGACTTCTCCTAAAGAAACCTTAATTTGGAAACTTTTGACTTTTGATTATTTGAGGAATTTTCTTGAGGAATCGTGATCAACCCTTGATAAAATGATGAATATCACTTAAAAATATTTATGTTGACCAAAAATTTTGAAGTTTGACTATATGTTGACCATAGTTGACTTTATGTTGACCATAGTTGACTTTTTACTCAATACAGTTGATTTTCAGTCATCTGAGCAATTGGTTGAGCAAACTTATGATACAATGTTTGAAACTTGATATGAGCATCCTTGAATACATATTAGGATCCATTAAAACCACTTGAGACCTTGGAAACCCAATCTTCCTTGAGAAATACCAAACCCTAGTTGTGGACCCATTGCTTAGGAGGAGAATTTGTCTGACCAATTCTTTAGTAATCTTGAGCAATTGAGAATCCTATGAAGACGAGGAGACCTCTTAAAATAATTTGATTTGAAAATAAGAGGGAAAATTTTGGGGTGCAACACATCTCAACACCTTGTTAGTAGCAATATCATTGAAAATAGGATTGCCTAGTAAATTTAAACGATTAATAAGATGAGAAAACCTCTTTTGCATTTGAGCAATGGTTTCCCCTTGATTTGTGAAAAAGAGTTTAAAATCTTGATTAAGTGTATTAATTCTAGCTTGTTTGACCTTATTAGTTCCCTCATATATCACTTGTAGAACTTCTCACATAGCTTTTACGGTTTGACAATGGGAAATGCGATAAAACTCATTTACACCGAGTGCGGATATAATGATGGTTTTTGCTTTCCAATCGCAAGACCACTTTTTCACATCTTTCTCATCCCCTAAGTTTTTCGGCTTTGGTACGGTAACACCATCAACAACATGTGTCACCGGTGTTGGACCATTTAGAATGGCTTTCCAAACACCTTTGTCATATGAGTTGACATGAATTTTCATACAAGCTTTCCAATAACTATAATTTTCTCCCGTGAAAATTTGGGCTCTTTTATAATTCCCTTTAGGTTCGTAAGCCATTTTCTACAAAGTGTCAAAGCCAAAATGAACCGGACTCTTGATGCCACTTGTTAGACGATGACAACGATATCTAGAGGGGGTGAATATATACCCCTTTAAAATTATCCAAATAAAATTTGGTTTTGAAAAAGTTTTATCAAAGTACGACGCGGAAGTTTTTTTAAACATTGTCGTCTATACGAACGTTATCGGGAAGCTCGGATATGCAACACGTAAATAAAAAATGATATGAAATTAGAATGATAATGTGAATTGATAACCTTGAATCACTTTGTAAATTATTTACCGTTTAATCAATTTCACTTAGCAAGGCTATTTCCAATGGTAATATCAAAAGAACTAGTTTAGTCAATTTATCAAACACTTGGTGTACAAGTGAATTTTCATAATTTTTCTTTTGATTGTGTTGATACACAAAACCACTTATAATCAAAAGTGATTATATGTTATATCAACACTTGAATTTAAGATCAAAATTTTTTAGAAAATTCTTACAATTCAAATGATAACGCAATGCTATTTGATAAATTGGACAAAGAATTTCAAAGCAAGTAAAAGCAAAAATAAAAGTGACACGAGGAATTTGTCTTCAAAGTTCTCCACTGTCGTCCTCGCGTGAGGGTACGTCTGCGCCTAATTCTAATGAAATTAGGATAATTCTTACTATGCAAAAATGTTGATACAAGAGAAATGTTCAAGTGTAACTCCACAAACCCTAAGCTTGTTGTTTATTCAACCCCTTCTCTTTCCTTGATCTTGAGAGAGACCAAGACTCAATAGATGAGAAATTACTATCTGGATCTTGCTACTCTTTTGTGTTATTTATCTCCAAATCTTTCGCGCACCATCAATCTCAGATTATTGCAACAAGTTACTTCCTTGCAAAGATTTCAAACACTCTAAGGTTCCTTACAAAGATTTTAAGCACTCCAAGGTTATTCACTTTACCGCAATTACCTCTTGAACGTCTTGCATGAAAACTCCAAAATCAACCAATGATCTTGAAGGACAAACTCGAGGTTTTTCCTGGATGAAAATCCCTACAAAACTTCACCCAATACACAATTGGACACTAGCGATCCTCGTCTAGATGGTACCCCAATGGAACATTGTTACAATATAATATCAGTGTGTATGCATAGATTAGAGGTTGAAGATGAAGAGAGAAATAGGCTAATTTTATGGTTTTCAACAAGTTGGAATGATGCATAAAAGAGTATTTATAGTTTTGGAACTTTTAGGGAAAAAAGGATAAATTCAGAATAAAAAAAATTTAAAAATTAACCAACTAAAATAGTATGTGTAGACCTAAGAGTCGTATGTGTCGACACATACGTGATTTTTGAACATAACGTGTCGACCTATAAAGAACCATGTGTCGACCGGAAAGTTACAGAAGCTACAAACTTTAAAATGATAGCACATGTGTTAACCTGAAAAGTGGATGTGTCGACACATAAAATAAGAATTTCTGCAATTTTAGAAAATCTTCATTATGTGTCGACCTGAAACACGCATGTGTCGGACTAATACTTACAGAAGTTACAGGCTTTAAAAATGCATTATATGTGTTGATAGAAATACGGATGTGTCAAGTCATGTAGTGAAAAATCATGCAGAAAACTTTTTTTAATGACTTGGATCAATTTTGAAATATTTTTTAATGATTTCTAAGACGTCTAATGCAAAGGAGTGCCATAAGACATAAGGATACCTTCCAGTACTAAGAGGTGTAGGTTTTTCTCAGTTTTGACATCATTCAAAAATATTTATCGATGAAGTTTGTACTCATACTGGCCATATATTATCTGATGTGGAACTCTTAACACACTCCCTCACGCTCAGAACTGGACATCTGGAGCGTGAAAATAAATGATGGGTGGCCCAATGGATCTTAGATGAGGCTCTGATACCATCTCAGAATTTGGGTTTGACTTAACTCATCCCTATAAAATCGGCTTGTAAGGTGAGGATTGTCCCCAATTATAAACACAACACATGTCATATCTCTAAGCAATGTGGGACTAAATCCACCCCTTCAAAGCCAACACAATGAAGGTGTTAGGAGCTGCAATGAGTCAAGCCAAAGTGCCACAATTAAGGCGACTTGGGGTGGACCGTAATTCATCTCATAATTTGGGATGGACCTAACTCATCTCTACAAAACTGGCTTGTAGGGTGAGCCAATGAGGCAAGCCAAAGTGCCGCAGTTAAGGCGACTTGGGACGGACCGCAATTCATCTCAGAATTTGGGATATGTCTAACTCATCTCTATAAAACCGACTTGTAAGGTGAGGATTGCTCTTACTGATAAACACAACACATGTCATATCTCTAAGTAATATGGGACTAAAGTCACCACTTCAAAACTAACACAATGAAGATGTTAAAAGCTGCAATGAGGCAAGGTAAAGTACCGCAATTAAGGAAACTAGGGACGGACCGCAATTAAAGCAGAAAGTCCAACAAATTGTTTTGAATCATATTAAACTTCGATCTTAATTTTGGTTCAAGACAAAAGTGAAAAATATGTAAGTGATTTTATATGATCGGCCGATGCATAGTATAATTAACCTTTATATTTTGTATACGAGTTAGAGTACCTCTCTTTTCTTTTCTTTTTTTGAAAAGATTAATTGTATAGGCTATGTTACATATTTGTTCATAAGAAAACAACAAAAGATAACCTTTTTCTATGTAGACAAAATAAGTATGTTTTGTATGCATCTCAATTCTCATCTTGAAATTAACGTCTTTCCAAAGTTTTTTTGCGCAAAATTATCTTGCAGTTATTCCCAGTAATTACTTTCCTATTAGTAAAAAAAGTGTTATATTGCTAATTAATTAGGTGGTTCAACTTTAAAAAAAAAAAATCATTTTAAGGGAAGGGGTGACATACAAAATTTAAACGATTTATCAAAGATGGAATTTAATCAAATCTGAAAAGCTAAAGAAGATATTAACTATTAAAAAAAGTGGCATCTGAATTCTGTAAAACTCAGTTCCTTAACACCAACTTTTGCATTTTGTGCAAGAAAGCTTACATGTACAAGAAGGACAAGAAAAGCAATAGAACCAACTGCAACAATTACAACTTGAGTTGGAACAAACATCACATGCTTGTTCAGATTTGAAACAATACCAGAAACTGGAATCGGAGCTGCTTGTTGTTTCTGATTCTTCATTATATGAATGCTTTCTAGGACTAGGAGTATTTGTCTTCATAAAACTATTCCTCTCTGTTGTTTCAGTCAAACTGCAAAAATTGCAAACAAATTAAAATCTACGTGCTTGTACAATTTCAAAAATATCAATGAATAACAAACTGTTTTTGAGGGCGTACCGTAAAGGATCTAAAATTTTTCATAATTAAATCATGACTAAATAGAGCTTCATAAATTATTGTGACAACTAAATCGTGATTAAATAGTCTCTATTTGTTTTGCCATAATAAATTGCGGCTAACCTATACAGAATCTTCAAAAATTTGAGATGACTCTATAATTAAGATAAATTGTATGTAAAAGGAACCATACAGCATGATCCAAGGAGATCAGCTATACCTTTTCAAACTTTATATTATATTTTGTTAAAAAGTAGAAAACATACATAGGGCAGACTCGGCCACCGTTGCAATAACCGCATAACAACCAACCACATGAACACCGGCAACTTGGCCATGCGAGGCAGCAGGTGGGCCATTTATACTGGAAGCATGTCGGCCAATTATGGTGGCAGAATGCCCAACTACAGTTACAACCGAAGCACAATCGCCGTGAACGCTTCTTTCTGCAGTGCACAAAAGAGATATTCATCATTGAGTGGATATGATGAGCTTAGGGATTTTAATTGTATATATCTGTACATGAGTATTCTTAGATGTCACCATACTCAAAAGATAATGAACATACAAATACATAAGCATTTGGACATGGACTTGTGCATGTTCATAATTGCTTCATCAAGTGGTTCACATTTATAGCAATGTAGTATTGAGTATTGACATACATGATAAAGAATGTATATGGATGAAAGAATGATATTGCCTTATCTCAAAAGGTAAAAGAAGAAAACAGACTTACAATGGAACAAAAGAGTGTCCCCTGGCTCCACTCTCGCTGGAGGGACTCGTCACACTTGACTTAGAAGAAATGTTGCTTGCAGATTGATGAAGAGTCTTTATGTCATTTTGGTCTTCACTTGGCTTTGGTTTGAACTTGAAAGATTCATCAGACTTTTCCATCTTCTCAATGTCAGCATTTTGGCTGGCAGTGTCTATCTCCTCTATAGTAACTGATGGAAGTCGGTTAAACATAGTTAACTCATCAGATTTCGTCAATTCTTGTGGCACATGTAATTCACCAACCTTAAAGGTATTGCCTCTGTTAAAACTATGGTGGCCTATATGAATACTAAACAGTGATTCATTAGAAGCAATACTCCATTCCAATGGACTATGTCCATTACTACTATTATTTCCATCAAACACCGAAGACGGAATCCTGCTAGAATCAATTCTTCCCGATCGATCCATCACTTGGATAGGAGGGTTTATGGTAGGTAACATATCCTTTTCGCTATAGGCCAAATTGTAAACTTGATATGTTGATGTTGGAGCTGTAGGACTATTATCAACATCAGATTTCTCAGAGCTCTCGCTACTAGAAACATAACCTTTCTCAGATTTCTCCGAGCTCTCACTTCTAGAAACATAACTCGTCTCAGATTTCACAGAACTCTCAAAACTAGAAACATAAAGTTTCTCAGATTTCAATGCAAGTTCAGACGCATCCAACCGATAGAAATCATCCGATGATGATTCTGACGAAGAGCTTCTACCCGATGAAGACAAGCTTTTGGTTCCATTGATATGTGTCACAGAATAACTATTCTCACCACTTTCACATCTAGTGATGACATCTATTTGCCTTTCGGAATCACTACTTCTTTCACTTCCATTTACTACCTCAATGCTTGAATTTTCAATACTTCGAATTTCATCAATGTTTTCGGAATGTATTCTTGCATGCTTATCTTTTACATCAAATGTCTCTGCATACATTTGAACACTTGTACCTTCCATTCAATAACCCTGCACACATGTGTTATAATTTTTTTAATTGAAAACTTGTAATTTCCCATTTGCAGCATATTAAACATTTCAATAGAAATATCAAACAAACCATAAATCAAATTCTCTATCATAAATTTCATGTTCTTCCATTTTAATGCATAGATTATTCTAAATTTAAAAATAAATAAAAAAACAATGTTGAATTAGATAAACCATATAAAAATTTCAAAATTATGCCAATTTCAGACATAAACGGTACCTGAAAATGATCACGTTACGGATATGCGACATAGAAACTTCATTCAGTTTTGATTTGAAGGTTTGCAACTGCTAATAAAAAACAAGAAATTGTTGAATACGTTGAAATGAAATGGGATCAGAAAGCGAAACGAAATGACAAAATGCAGATTTTGTGGTAAATATGGTGACGAAAAGTGTTGCGGAATTATAGGAAATTTTCAATTCCATTCTGTTAATGCCTATTTGTGAATTTAGCGCCATATCACTGACAGATCTCACTTTCAACCATTTTTCTTTTTGTTTAAATATAGTTTGATATTTGACTTAACTGACAACGTCTTGTTTTAGATTTTCTCACTTGGTAAATAGATCATCATTTCATAATTATTTGAATGCAGTTTTTTCTTTTCTTTTTTGAATTTTTGGAATTTAATCTTCCTATTTTTTTAATATCTGTAACTAATTTAATAGGTTACTGTTGGATTAAATTTATGTTTATAATGATTTAATAAAATAAATAAGAGTAAAAATATTTTAAAATAGGAAAATAATCCAAAAAATTTACTTGTAAAAAACAGAGAAACACAAAAAAAAAAAATTTTTTAAACATCATTGGATTTTTCAAAAGAACCATTCCTTTTACCTAGCTTGGAGTTCCCATTTGCAAAGATAAAGTCAAAGCTAGACACTTTCAACTTATTATTGACAAGGTGTTGGCCAAACTTTCTGTTTGGAAGGCTTTTCTGCTCTCTATTGCAGGTGAAACTCTTCTTGTTCAACATATTTATTCATGACATGATTACTCATTTCATTAGATTTTACTCTTGGCCTATATCTCATCATAAAATAATTGAGAGTGTAACTAGAAATTTAATTTGGAGTGGCATCATAGACAAGAAGAAAATTGTTATTGATCTTACCGGATCAGACGTGGACCGTCACGACTGATTCCGAGCTGAAGTTGAACGAGATGGGGGGTACCTGCAAGGCACTCTGATGCTAAAGTAAGTGGCAGTACGAGCAGGCAAGAAAGTGTGTGTATGGTAAAAGAATGAATACCTGACCCTCTGGGAACAGAGGGTATTTATAGCCCCCAGCGCTGGGCCAAGGTCCCTTCATTGGGCCGGGCAGGTTTGGCCCAATGAAGGAACTGCCAGGTTCTACGTGTGTAGTGGGGACCCGCACGTGGTCTCCTTTCTGGGTGTTCTGCGAGAAGTACGGACGGACGAGGACGCAGTCTTTTCAGAATCCAGGTGATGGTGTAATGGTCATAGTCTGCCCTACGAGGGGTGCTCGAGCTGAGGTCGAGCTGGACTGCATGAAGTCGAGGATGTCGCGCTCGCAGACAGTGGCGGACACGACTGTAGCTTCTTGGTCGGCGCGACCCCCTGCAAAGCCGTTTGGATTGGGCCTTCATCCTTGCTCTTGGGCCAGCCCGGCCCAGTCCAGAACAGGAGCCCCCTAAGTTGTGGTTCCTGGAGTAGGAGTCATGACTTGATCTTAGTTCGCCTCTGTCACGAGGTCCCGTGCTCGGACAAGAGATTTAGTTCTCCGTGGTCACTCGAGGAGTTTCCCCTGTGTCGCGCTCGTGAGATAATTCCTTTCGAGGAGTGCTCGGGGGACTCTCGACGGGCTGTGTTCGTTGAGCACACGAGGCATCCCTTGGGAACCGTGCCGCCACCCTATTGAAGATAGGGTCATCATTGCCTAGGGGAGCTATGCGTCGAGGAGGGAAGTTCGTGGTTCCCCGGGGTGACGTTTTGTATTCCACGTCATCACTATAAATAGGGTCCTTGGGCCCCAAAATATGTTTTTCCTCTTCGCGCTTCTCCTCCTTCCTCTGCCTCTACTGCTGTTGTTTTTTCCAGATTTTCATAGGACCGCCGTGCTCTCCGCCGCTGATTCTCTTCTCTGATTTCAAGTAAGCGTCTTGTCCCTTTTGTTTTTCCTCTGTGGTATATGATTTTTTCCCTTGTTTTATACGCTAGAGACTGTGCGTCTGGGATTAGCCCCGGTAGATTCGTATTTTCGGCCGGCAAATCCATGTTTATGACCGGCAAACGCATGTTTGTGCCCGGTAAACGCATAGTTTAGGTATGTGACTCGCAATGCTGCCCAGGATCTTCATGATTCAGGGCGCCTAACTCGTGATAGTGCCCGGTAAATTCATAGTTCTAGTTTTAGGATTTATGATATTGCTCGCCATGTCCATAGCCTAGGTCGACATATTTGTGGTTGGCCGGGATGTTGGCCCATTTAGGCAATCTGTAGGACGACTTGTCGCGGTATCTTGGCGTCGGGGAGGTGACTCCACTCTTTTGTTCAAATCTTCAACTTTTTAATCGTGTGTGGAGTGTGACTCAGTTTGTCGTGCCCTTCTTCCCGTCAGTTATGGCGAGCGTGTGGATTTGCTCCCCAATTGACCGGTTTCCTGTGCTTTGCAGGTAACAATGGCGGATGAACCGTGTTCCTCGGGGCACAATGAGGTGGAAGATCAAAGCGCCGAGGAGAATGTGAATCTGGTCGATACCATCGATGATCCTCTGTTGGAGTGGGTGGGCGCCGAGCTCAGAGGGATTGCTTCTGCTTATAGTCGGCGCAGTCGGAGTGCGTATACTATCGTCGAGCAGGGCGGTAGTCAGCCTGACTTTCAGAAAAACTTCGTTGTCACTAGACCGACTCTTACCGTGCAGATCTGCTCGGAGTTCCCCGAGTACAGGTTTCCCATGTATGAGATCGCTTTTAAGGACCTTGGACTAAAGCTCCCCTTTAGTGATTTTCAGGTCGGGGTCTTTAGTCATCTGGAGCTGGCCCCGTCGCAGCTTCACCCCAACTCGATTGCTTTCCTCCGGGCGTTCGAACTGACGTGTCGCTTTTTAAGGATTGGGGCGACCATACCTCTTTTCTTCAGAGTCTTCCATTTACAGCGCCAGTCTCGGGGAGGTAGGCACAATTGGGTTTCCCTGAAACAGTCGAAGAGACTGTTCAGGATGTATATGGATTCTGTCCGGGGGTTCAAGGACAAATGGTACATCGTGCGGCTGGTTACCAAAACTGGTCTAGAGTCTGTATACGAGGAAGAAACGGTGGTGACCGACGATCACGGGGAGGCTCTTCTAGACGATGAGGGCCGCCCGGTGTTGGGGCGTGTGGCCAAGTTTCCTTTGCATTGGACCCCGCGTCACTACGAGCACGGCACCGGGAACTACCATACGCCCGCGGGTGGGATGAGCACCGAAGATGAGGAGGCCTATGGTACCCTCTACAGATATGTCGATAGTTTCTTCCCTGCCCGGTGGGCCACGAGGGAAGGAAAGGATATTCTTGACGAAGATGGTTATCTGACCTTTGAGGCCCGGCCTATCGATACGAAGGCGCTCGTGGAGTGCCAGTCCTTCGGGCAGGCCGCGAACCTGCTAGGTTATTATTTTTTATCTTGTTTGAATTTCTTCGTTTGTTATTTGCTCGTCACTAACCCGAGATTCTTTTATGCAGGTCTCATGGCTGGACGAAAGGAGAGGCTCCTGAAGCTGACACAGGATAAGAAAGTCAACAAGAGAGTGGTGCGAACTCCTCAGGCAACGAGGATGGGCCCGCCAACTAACCCGGGCGATGCTTCTGGAGGGTCCCCGGACGCTCAGGATGTTGAGCCGCATATCGACCTGATACCGAGGAATAGGAACCGGGTGGAGCGCCAACCGGAGGTCGGCGAGGAATCTGGTGCGGTGAGGTCCTTCGGGTTGCCCCCCTGTTTTAAAGAGGAGGGTTTCTTCGAGGGATTTCCCTTGTCCGTAAGCACTGACGAAGCTGATACCATTAGGCGGCTGAGCAAGGAAAATCGGAGAAAGCATCTGGCCGCCAACATGGTCGGAATGGTCAAAATGGCCGAGATGGCCGTTGTCCTGGCCGAGGAGGAGGAAGATTCTGATCGCATCAAGGAGCTGGAACAGGAGAAAGCTTCCCTTACTGCGAGCTCACGAAAGTTGAAGGCTGCTCTGGAGCGCTCTGAGGAGATGTTCCGCGAGCAAGCCGAGCTGCTGGCCGCGGAGAAAGAGAACTCGGGGAAGATTGCCGAGGAGAGGGAGTACTTCCGTGAGGACCGGGAACGCTTGGAAATTGACAACGGGCGCCTCGCCAAAGAGGTCGAGGAACTAAAGGCCGACATGCTCCCTGCCGAGGATGAGTCGGAGGAGACAGCTCCTTTGCGGAGTCGGTCGGAACTGGTTGCTCGTATTTAACTCCTCGAGGCGGACTGTGTCAGTGCTTTGGCGGATGGCTTTGAAGCCGCGGTTAGCCAGCTCGCTCTGTTGAATCCCAATCTGAATACTGAAGGAGTGGGCTACATGTCTCAGGTCATCGACGGCCAGGTCGTGCCCCCGCCCGAGTCTCCTGTTGTCGGCGGTGATAGCCTTGGGGAAGTCTAGCCGTGAGATCTTAGTCGGGTCTGTGCGCCTTTTTTTTTTATTGATGGTTGTTTTTTGGGCCTGCGTGCCCGTGCATGTTTTACTTTTTGGGCTTGCGTGCCCGCTCTTGTACTTTCCGAACATCGTCGGCCTTCTTGGTCGGTTTATTTCTATTTGTTTTGTTGCTCACGAGCTTTTTGAATGAATGTTTGTTTCGACTTTGATTATTTATCCGTGTTTATGTTTTGATATTTTGCGATAGAACTTTCCTAAGTTATGGCCCCGAGTCTTGCCCGTGTGTGGTTGTGACTTTGTTGGCAAATTTGCCTAAGTCTTTTGTTCGGG